TGGGTAATAGGACTTTGGCTCCTCTAAAAGTTCATGTTCATCTGGACTATGTCACTAATCTCAGCATGCCTTCCCAATTTGAAGAATGAACCAGAGCAGGCCAGAACAACTCTGAAGGGTCACTCAAAAGGTTCATATACTCAGCATGTGCTTGATCCTTTGCCACATCCAGGAGCCATCAATCTATAATTCATCGTTGAACAAGCCTAGGATCAAAGCTAAATCAATTCGACCAATGGCCAAAAGGGTCACTCAAAGCTTCTATACTTGAGGTTAATAAAAGGCTAGAAGGGTTCATGATACTCACAGTCTAAAATAGCTTGCTCTCCAAGACATTTCTGTGTCACTTCCTACGTCAGCTAGATAAAAAAGTAAATCAAATCGAATTTAATGTTTCATGCTAATCACAGTTAAATATAGCTTGCCCTCCAAGACAATTTAATGTTTCATGCTACTCAGTACTCACAGTTTAATCTAGCTTGCCCTCCAAGACATTTCTATGTCACTTCCTACGTCAGCTAGATAAAGGGTAAACCAAATAGGCTTGAGTATTAGGTAAATAATTGAAGTACTCAATTAAACTACGTCCCTAGTGATTTGTCCTAATGTTAGAGATAGAAACTTTTCGTCCTCACGCTATAGGAAGAAAAAGAAAAGGTAATTTGTCGTAACTTAGCATAAAAGGATGCAATAGCCGACATAGGTACTAGGCTGTACCTGTCATTCTCTGCACACGTATAGGCCACTCGATCCACGTATGTACTTGTAGTCTTGTACCCCAAAGTCGCCTTCTTTATATATTCAACTCCCTACAAAGATAACCCGTGAATCACACACCACAAGGGCCATGATTGATTCAGCGAGTTTCCTCGAAGAGAACAGAGGTAGTAGAGGAAGAGGGTTCAACAGGATGAAGCCGGGGGATGTTTTAACTCACCTGGGATCGATAGTTGCTAGTTTGATGTTCGTTTGGGCTCTGTTTCAGCAGTACTTCCCATACCAACTCCGCCACAACATAGACAAATACTTCCAGAGGGCCTTCTCCTTCGTCTACCCTTACATCCAAATCACTTTCAGTGAATTCACAGGCGAGCGTCTGATGCGCAGTGAGCTCTACTCCGCCATCGAGAACTACCTCAGCTCTACTTCATCGACCCAAGCCAAGCGGCTGAAGGCTGACGTACTGAAGAACAATCAGTCCTTGGTGCTTAGCATGGATGATCACGAAGAGGTTGCTGATGAATTTCAAGGGATCAAGCTTTGGTGGGCTTCTGGGAAGAACATCTCCAAGACCCAAACGCTTTCTTTCTATCCAGTCAAAGATGAGAAAAGGTATTACAAACTGACTTTTCACAAGCGGCATAGGGATCTCGTCATTGGGCCATATCTAAGCCATGTCCTGAAGGAAGGGAAAGCAATCAATGTTAGAAATCGGCAGCGGAAGCTTTACACCAACAATGGATCGCACTGGAGCCATGTGATGTTTGAGCATCCAGCAACATTTGAAACACTGGCGTTGGAGGCAGATAAAAAGAAGGAAATTCTCGAGGACTTGACCACATTTAGCCAAGCGGAACAGTTCTATGCGAGAATCGGAAGAGCTTGGAAGAGGGGTTACCTTCTCTATGGCCCTCCTGGCACCGGGAAGTCCACCATGATTGCAGCCATGGCAAATCTTCTGAACTATGACATCTATGACCTAGAATTAACCGCCGTGAAGGACAACACCGAGCTTCGGAAGCTTCTAATCGAGACCTCGAGCAAATCCGTGGTCGTGATCGAGGACATCGATTGCTCTCTCGATCTCACTGCTCAACGAAGGAAGCCGAAGGAGAGCGAAGAAGCAACGAGCGAGCAGGATCAGAAGCCGAAACCGCCGAAGGAAGACAGGGAACCTAAACAAAGCCAAGTAACTCTTTCAGGGCTCTTGAACTTCATCGACGGGCTATGGTCAGCTTGCGGCGGGGAGAGACTTATCGTTTTCACCACCAATCACGTCGAGAAACTCGATCCAGCCCTAATCAGGAAAGGTAGGATGGACAAACACGTCGAGCTTTCCTACTGCAGCTTCGAGGCATTCAGAGTGTTGGCCAAGAATTACCTTCTGCTAGATGACCACCAACTGTTCGACAAAATTCGCCAGTTACTAGAACAAACTAAGATAACCCCGGCTGACGTTGCGGAGCATTTGATGCCGAAGACCGTCCCGCCTAATGCCGAGGTTTGCTTGAGTAGTCTGGTGCAGGGCCTTGAAGCCGCGGCCGCGGAAGAGGAGGAGGCGAGATCGAAAGCAGAGGAAGAAAACAAGGAGGAGAAAGAAATCAGTGCCATTGTTGAAGAAACGAAAGAGGAAAATTCCGCGGGCAAAGAAGAAAGCAAGTACAATCAGCAGTAGCTGGTGCCCAAGTAGCATTTCATCTAAACTGAGATCTTCTGGACATTCACTTTTCCTTCTAGCATTGTTAATTTGAGCAGTAAAATGTAAGATTTCCAGTTATTGCGGTTCCATCATCCGTTTGTCAGAACTCTTGAGGAGGATACATCGTGTTGTTGATGGTTCATGTCAGTTTCGCAATTCGCATTGTTGGGCCAATTCTCAATTTATGCAAAGCCCATCCAGTTTAACCGTCAAAATAATGAAAGCGAGCTTGTGTGGCGGAGGAAATTCAGGTCTAAAGACGAATAAGGCCCAAGCTATCTAGATTCTAGCCCAGCAAAAGCCCAAGTATCCATTAACCCAAGTGCCCATTAGGCCATTAAGACCGGTCAATATAGTAAAAATGAAAAATATATCAACTTTGGTGAGAAACACAAGAGAAACATCTATATAGAACAAACGCTATTCAAATCGGTTTATACGATGGTGTCGGTTTAGCAAGTGGCATTGTACGAACAGTGGTACAACCGGTTTGATTTGTGTCGGTTCATGTCGACTTAACATAATACGACATTCTGAATAAAATAATATTTATACATTTAAATACAACATTTAACATCAATTTCTACACGTTTATACCTGAATCCAAGAAATTACATCAACTTTTAACTTGTATATTTGTAAAGTACATAATAAATTGATCATGTCGGTCATACCAATGAAAATTATACCAATTTCATGACCGGTATCAATTGAACCAAATTCAACCGGCCAGCATCCCACCGACATCACAACCATACACAGAACAACAATGTTTTGACTGATAGAAACCATATTCATCAACAAACTATAACCTTGAAAAAAGGGCATGAAAAGTTCCATTCCATCCTTTGGAAGCGGTCATCAGCATACCATGGAAAATGCTGCCAATTACACATATAGAAACAAACATATTTACTTATTTATCTACACAACTATTCAACGCATGAACGCAAGGTGTGTGTGAACATAGACAGATGACAGTCACTTTTCTCCGTCAAATACTTTCCTGGAAAATAGCCACCGGCCCCGGCCTTTTCCACGAATTGACCCGCATATAATAACAATACTAAACTAATTAAATGAAAAATAATTAGTGGTTAAACCTTCCAGCATTAACACAGCTCGGGGCTGTCTATATATGACGAGGAGAAGCATCCATAAGTATTAATTTATCATCTGTCTCTTTATATATATATACAGAGAGGGAGAGGCATTGGTGAAGAACTAGTGGGGAGCGTGAAGAGCGAGATGATTGAGGAGAGGAGTTGGGGGGTTTCTTGTCGCAGGAGAGATGGTTTTAGCGCTGGTAGCTATACGGACAGAGTCCTCGCCGCCGGCCTGCTAGCTTCTTCCCACCACCGTGGTTTCGCCGGACGGTGGAGTATATAGTAGTACTATTACTATAGCTCCATTAACTAAGACCATCCTCCGGTGACACGATACCCTCTCAATTTCTTGTCCACTACGGTACGGTAGCTAGCTAGACATGGGAAGGAGTACTGCATGTGAATCTTTTCATCTCTACCAGTGTTCTTCTTTCTTCATCATCTTCTTCTTCTGTTATTGGGTCTTGAATTTGCAGCGTCGAAGGTAGTTCATATGAAATTTTGGCTTTTTTTCTTCTTCTCCATGTCGGATGGTTGGTGGCCCCAAAGTTCTTGGGCCCCAAGTTCTTTGGTCCATAGACTTCCGGGGGAGTGGGCCACTCACAACGAGTGAGATTAAACTTGAGGTTGTATATGGACGGCTATCTGCGTGGCGTACAGGAAAAGTATGCTACACTCGTCTTAAACGACGGCTCAAATAAATGGTAAGGATGAGCGACGACGATCCGTGTAGGATGCAGGCTACTTATGGTAGACCCTTCCGTTACTCACTAGACCCCTTAAGCAATTAGGGGCTATTTATATACTAATAATAATTCATCTTCGTCCAACTTTGACGAATATTGTAGGGAATTTCATTGCTCCAACAAATACATTTGTTCCCAATTAAAAATTTGTTGACTAAATTTGGTAATATGTTCTTTTTTGTGAACCAACACAAGTTGAAGCGAATTTTTTTTAATATTTTATGATTTCATAGTTAACTATTGATAGAATGGTTTATATAGTATAAACTAGAAAAAGAATATACAACCAAACTAATTTTAGAATTGAACACTAAATTTCAAATACATATCATTAATCATAATAGGTTCTAACTTCTAACAAATCATTCGAACTGTCTAAAAAAAATCGTACAAAATGTTTATCAAATTTGAACTAGTCACGTAAAGTCGACAAGGAAGCTAGGAAAAGAAAAAGAGAAAAGGAGAAATAAAAATAATAATTAGGGTTGGATGGTATTATTAGTTCACGTTATAGTTGTTTCTATTAAACGTTTGTTGTTAAAATAGTGGACCGATCAAATCGAGACGATACATCTAATTACCAGTCCAACTATTAAAACCCATTTGATGTGCCCCTATTCGTCCAAACAAAGGATTGTCCCTCCACTGCAATTGTTTTGACGGTTCACTAAATCAGCCAGTAATCCGAACCCGTTCTTACAATAAATTATAGTAAACTACAATTTTCATACCAAACTCCACATAACAATCTATAAACTAAAGTCAAATTTTGTTACCTTATATGACGTTCATGTTTAAGGTTATTTAGTAATCACAATACTATCACACTAAGCAACCTAATGAACATACTAGTTTTCATCAATTCGAGTGAATTCAGTGTAATATTCGTACCGGCATTATTGGGATTTCCATCGGTTTGATAAACTGATTAGTACATATAATTGGTCCTTCATCTGCTTTATTGTAATCGGACATACAAATACAATACATAAAAATGATGAAGAACAATCATATGTATCCTCCAACTAATCAAGCAGTCCCTACGTAAAAATCATTGTTGGGGCCTGGGGTGTTCTTCCCTTCTTCTTGTTTCACCAGGTTTTGGATCCTCTCAACGAAGCCGTTCACCGTTGCCAGCCCCTTTTCATCTGATGCAACAAAAGAAAGAAATCCTCCCAAATTCAACAATTATGCCTAAATAATTGCAATTGCACATACATCAAACAATTACGAATCGCAAAGACATTAGTACGACTTTCTTGTCATACGAGGATTGTGGTCGAGTTCAAGCGCGTGATTGAATTTTGGTAAAAGAGTGAATGAATTTTACCAAGTCTGGGAATGGTATGTCCCCTAGGGTGATGAACCACCACAGCATCTCCACAATGTAACAGCAGTTCCTTACCATTTGGCTTCAAAAAATCCAGCTCCCCTAATCAAACCAACCAAAAACACAAATACAGTAAATTAGCCAGCCAGCCAACCAGCCATCTACATCAGCATTTACTTGTAACATTAAATTAGCGTTCTCTCTCTATCTGCATCAGCAGAGGGTGACTGGTGGGAGCTCTGAAAGAGAGGTAGGTAGGGGAGCACATTTGGAAGCTGTAACGGCCATTCCACTCTCACAGACGACCAGCCAAACAAATTCACAGCTCAAAAAGGAATCCCATGGATGAAAAAGAAAAACTTTACCGAGAAAGTGGAGGGATGGACATTGTATGGGAGAAGCGTAAGCGTCGTCGGCCACTGATTTTGCCTTGAATTTCGCCCCTCCGACTATTATCAGAAACTTGATCTTCGGCACTTTAGTCAGCGCCAAACCCTGCTCATTTTCATTGCAATAGGCGACTATATCACAATCCTAGTCTCTCGTTTTCGAACTATCGTTACTTAATACAGTTTTCGTAACAAACCCAACAGCACACAGCACATGGAAACCATTTTTGGAAAACGTGGAAGGAAATCTAACCTTGGATTGCAGACCTGGAAGTCCAGCCGACAGAATTGCTCCCTGCCCCCAAACAAATTTCGCATGCATTTCTACATGAGATGGTTGCCCACAAGAACCAATTCATACGAACTTCGAAAAGGAAAAAAGGAAAGGGAAAGACTTGAACCTGTGAGAAACCGAGAAGGCCGTCAATGGGAGCATGCTGGATCATTAATTCCTCTATGTAAGCTAAGCACTCTTCAAAATTCCTGTACTCCGTGAATTCCTGCAACAATCAGCCCGGAGAAAGTTTTGAATACGGCAGAAGTTCAAGAAATGACACACAAAAAAGAAAAAAGAGGAATTGGGATTTAAAGGGTGTACCTTGTTGAATTGGAACCACTCGTAATAAGGAGGGTCGAAGATCCCTTCGACCTCTGATTTGCCCTCGGCGGGGTAAGGGGCATCGACGAAGACTAGATCGAGGTTCTGGAGGACGGATTCCGGCCATTTGATGGTGAGCTGCTTCTTCAAGATTGCTGCGCTGGTCCTGAACCCGTGCAGGCACAGGAATCTGGGTTTCCTCGCCATCTCGCCTTCCGACCCCATTTCTTTATGCTTTGGACTTCTTGTTTCAGTTGAGAGGAGAAAACAAGAAAGAAAGGAAGAACACACCTGTAGAAGAAAAGGAGGACTGCCCTTCTTTTTCCCCCCTTCCTGCCTTTCCTTTTCTTATTCAAATTTGATAGGTGAGGAAGAACGAACACGAACGAAGGAGGGAGAGAGAGAGCGAGGGGTTCTGCTTCTGCAGAGGGAAGGAGGGAAACGAATATAAAGGCTAGAAAATTTCATATTTTTGTTTACAATTTATTTTAAAATAAAAAGAGCTTCTTTTGTCTTTTAAGAGATCTATTCTTATGATGCCTCGTGAAATATAAGAATCTTCATTAAAAAGGAAAAAGTATGAGAATCTTTCTGAATGAAGAGTTAGTATATGTTATTTTAAAGGAAGGTTTTTTATATATGAAATTGCCATATTTCTCATGTATATATCATATGCATAGATCTTTGTCATTTGTCTATCACCCATTACGTACACATTCAATCCCTTTAACAACCCTATAGAAAGGAAACAGTTTGTTTTGTATGCTACTACAACCCGTGACCTCAATCTCTGGTTCAGCTGTGTCTAGATTCCCGCTGATGCACTTCCTGCAAATCAGCTTAACCCTCTAAACTACAACAACTGCCCGCCTTGCCATGGTGCGAGCGCGTTTGGGATGGAAGATAGATAAAGACCCAAAAAGAGGATAGAATTCCAGCCTGCATTTTCTGGCAAACGGATTACCAACCAAGATGTGTATGTAGTAACATGACAGTACAGTGACAGACCTTACATTAGAACCCTTCCTCTTTCTGGACCAATTCATTTTCATTCAGCACCAATCTCGATTTTCATTGCTAATGTTACAGGGGGAGGAAATGATCTTGAACATGGAAGATATCAATAATTCCACACCGAAAACCAAAAAAAGAAGCAAGTTCTAGGGGTGACTAGTAACAGGGTATGAATGGGTTTTACCGTGATAATCAATGTGCAGAAGTAAATCCCAGCTGTATCTTCCTAGTTCCTTCTCGCCATAGCCTTCCATCACCATGTATAACACCGTGAATTCGAGTGTACATTCAGCTTCATCTTACCGTTCGTTCCCCGTACCCAGTATGCTGACATGCTCGATAAATGCTATCAAACTCTTTTCTTTTTTCATCATTTGCACTGCCTTGGTCGGAAATTCTCAGTGGATAGGAGAGACCCAATCAGCGTTTCCAGTCTTTTCGCTCCAGGGCCCGGTCTGACAACTGTGGTGTTACCGATGATGGAGCAGGGATCAGTTCCGTTCTCCCCTCGACTCCCAATGCACCAGCCACCAGGAGTGAACATGCCGGGACCTCTTGACAGGAGCTCTGAGTCTACTCTGTCGAGGACAGGATCATCCTGCCTGAACTTCCGAGCAAATGGGGCGTTACTCTCAACCATTTTGTCCATGTCAGCGATAGTCAGGTGGTGAGGGTGTTGCTTCGGAGGGTTGTCCCACGCGATGAAGTGGAGGTCACTATTTACAGTTGTGTTGCGGAACTCGAGGGCATTGCAGATGACTGTGTGGAAGTAGCCTTCTGGGGATGATATGAAGTTTGAGTAGTACATTAGGGTTGTTCGAGGCAAATTGTCCCAACCCCAGATCGTGTAATCGATGAATGGCCGAGAAAGCACCATCCATGCAGAACCTGTATACGAAATGAGAAACCAGCAGTTCATAAGTTCGGGAAAAGGTTAGAAAGAATGATCCTTTGACCATTCTTGATGGCCGATTGGCATTTGGGAAATCACGGTATGCAGAGTCCTATACTATTGAATTGAATTTGGCTCAGAGATGAAACATTGGACTTCTCAAAATCACATCATTATTGTATATTTAAATTCTCTGCTGATTCATTTTGCGTTCTTGCAGTCCGTTGAGCAAGAAGTTGTTTGAGTAAAAAGAACAAGGATTTATGGGAAATAACCACTTTCAGATTAACTTTCCTTTTCCCCTATCAATATCTCCATTCCTGAAGAACTGCTCCTGACCTTTGAAATGTGCCAGATTTCATCTAGGCCAGGTCCTATGGAATGAATCACTGGGACTCCCATAACCAAGAACAAACCTTTGCTTGCTTGGCCAACTAAAAACCAGTGTTACCTATCTACCCCTAAAGCAAGGCACCAAACACAAAGATCGTTTCAAATACTTCAGGCCCTCTTTCTCCCTACTTCTCTCAAACCCAATAATCAACTGACTTGATAACCAGCACAAAAGAGAAACATGGTTTACTATATGTAGGGACACTCTTTCAAAGATCCTTAGGGCTTCAACTTTCCCGTACCTCGGAATTCATAATCTATCTCACAGTTCAACTTTAAAGCCTCCACCATTGCAGCACTAAGTTCAGTTCAGACAAACCATGAACTAAACTTTTCAGCAGCTAATCACATCTTAGTTCCAAAAGGATAAACAAGACAACTCCACCCTTTGGAGCATTTACCAACAGTCAACAAAAACCAGGACAGAAACTGAAGCTAAACCTTACATGCCAACACAATCTAAATGCAGAAGAAGCAGATAACTAACAAATTCCGATCCAATTCGGAACAAAGAATCCATACCTGTGAAGAGCTTGAAAGCTGTCGGCACACTTCTCCGCTGTGTTATCCAGAAAACATCAGATTTCTTATTCATATACAACCCAGGATCGACTATAATCGGCTTTGCCCTCTGAACCCTGCCACATTTAAGCAAATCCAAATATCAAGAACAAAACTTGATACCAAAATCCAGCAGAAGAACAACCAACTTGGGAACCTCTTCACTCACTCTTTCCAGCCAATGTCGCTTGTATGATCGATGAAATTAAGATCCCTCGGCAGATAGGAAAACACGTGCAGCAGATCTATCAACCAATCAAAAACATATTCAAAACGAGTTCATCACTAGATCACTGACCCAGCAATTCTGTCAAGAAAAAAGATAAGGAAAAAACTTACCGTCCTGAGTCACGAGTGGGTAATCGGAGGCGCTGAGATTGATAAACCAATCCCAATCGGACCCTTCCCTGAGCAAGATTGCAGCAGCGTGAAGCGTATTGGCCACCATGGTCGGCCCCCTGTAAGTGACGAGGTTTGCCTTGGTGATCATCTTCACATTGCCGAATTTCACGAAAACCCTATGATCCCGAACGAAATCGGCCAGATCCGCGCGCTCCTCCGGCGGCGATTCGGCGTCCAAGTGCACGACGTAGCGGTTGTTGGGATGGTAGAGAGCCAGCAAAGTCCTTTTGAGCATGTTCCCATCCCCCTTTGACCCCGAGATCAAGTAGGCGAACCGCGGCGGCGGAGGGAGAGTAGAGACCGGCAAGGGCTGCAGCTTGGGCTCCACGAATTTGGAGCTGAAGGAGTAGATTGAGCGGTAGAAGGGAAAGATAGAAACCCCGGCGGGGGAAGAAACGGTGGTGAGGAGTAGGAGGAAGAGGGAGAACAGGGAGCCGATCGCCAGTGGGAAGATCCAGCGCCGCCGGTCTGCCGACGCACCCTGGTGGGGCCGGAAATGACTGTAGTAGCTCTTCAACCGCTTCATTGGGAAATTGGGTAGTTGGGTTGCTGTTTAGTTTCCTTAATTAGAGAGACGAGCAGTAGGGATTAGTAAGGAAGAAGAAGCCGTTTTTTTTCTTCTTCAATTTTTGGTTATTCAGATAAAAATGTATTTTGCGTTCGAATTTGTTGGAGGAGGTGGGAAGATGGTGGGGTTCGTGGGTGGGAGGTTATAAATTAGGTAGAGAGAATAGGGGAGGAAGGCGGTGGCCTGCCGGCGACGATGATGGCGACGGCAGCGGCGGAGAGGAGAGAAAGGGGGAGGGAATAGCGGCAGAAGAGGAGTAAATGGTATTAGCTGGTATTTTCAGATGAGGGAAGACGACATTTTAAATTCTTTTTTCCATTTTTATAGAGAAAAACAAAAAAGGAGTTTTTAAATCTAAAATCTCATCTCCTTCGCTCTTTCTTCCTTTGTTTTTCTTTTCTTTTGGGATTTTGGTTTTGTTTCGGAATGGAATTTAACAAATATATAAATATAAGATTAATTAAGGAAATGGATTTGACCTCTCTGTTAATTTTTACCCGACTGTAATTTTTGGGTTTTATGAACAGGGAGGATGGGTGTTGGGATGTATACCAAGACAATGGAGTTAGTGAATACCATTGCCGTTTTCTCTTAATTCCCCATTGATTCATGTTCTTGCATTTCGCCAACCCTAGAATGACTTAATGGAACTTGAAATGGGGAGCTCTACTTTCATTTGAGAGCCTATTAGTATTAATGTGGATATTTAATGAATTCGCGTTGTGATCGATGATGTTCAATATGCATATCAATTCGAAGGTATAATCAATTGCATTATGGGAAGCATTGAATCGACGCAAGGACCACAATTAACAAAAGCAACTGAACAAAACAATTTTTTCTATAGGTGAGTTTGATTCCAAAAGCCAAAATCTTATATTTAATGTATGTTCATGTTATAACAATAGGCGAAACCTTGAAGTTCATGTTATCACAATAGGCGAAACCTTGATTCATCATGCCAAACAATTCTCAATTGATTCATACTAATTAGCTTTCTCTCAATATACATCAAATACATCTTCACGTTATCGTTAAACAAAGCATAAAAAAAACTATGCATAATTTTTACAAGGAAAGAATCTACCACTTAATGGGAAAACGCCATCCATGCCATCCAGAACTTGTGTGTGTGGATTATGGATGTCAATCCAACCCGTAACCATGGGTACCCTACCCGGCCGTAACCGGACAACGAGGATAATTACCCGCTTTGACGGGTTAAGGGGCGGGTACGGGGAATACCCGGTTTCAAAATAAAGGGTAGGGTACGGGTATGGTAATCGATAATACCCGCCCCGTTATACCCGCCCCACTAACTAAAGGGTCAATTTCCCTTGGGAAATTTAGATTAGCTTGAGAAATTGAGTTTAGCTACCATTATTGATGATGAAGATGTAGACGATTATTATGTTTGTGTGGATTGTAGAAGCAAGAATAATTATTATGTGTTTGCTATTTTTATTTGTGTGGATTGTTGAAGCTAGAACAATTACAAGTATTGAGAATTTTTAATGGACAACAGTATGTACGTGCATAAATGTGTATAAGTTCATAGTTTAGGATTCGTACCCATGGTTACCTGAATGCCCGTGGTTACCCGATGGGTAGGGTATGGTTATATAATATTCATACCCGGTGGTTATTTGGTCTGATATTTTAGAAGGCTCTACCCGGCGGGTTAGGAGTTGGTATAGGGTAAACCCGCACCCAACCCTACCCATTGTCATCCCTAGTGTGGATATACACATGTGTGTTGTATAGTTATTGTCAATCAAACAAAGTAAAGTATGAGTTTAAATTCTCCTTGACATTGTTGAGCCCGAAAACAATCAATGGAAAGAAAGGATTAGACAGAGAGAACTAGCAGACTGCAGACATATCAGTTTTTTGGAAACAGTGACTTGCTGAGGGTATGCTGGGAGCTATAACAACTTGAGAATCTATCGTTTTGGAAGAAGAAGAATCTTGCGGAAACCACTGTTTAGCCGGCTATACAACAAAAATTACTGTCATTTCTTTAATTAAGCTGAGTAGAACAATGTCTCCGATTCAATTTGATGATAAACAAACTGCGTATGAATTCGACACTTTCATCATATAAGTTCATCACCGATATGCTAATCGCGTTAAACCATTAACATATTTCGAGACCTTCAACCTTTCTGGGGTCTCAATGCAGGCCAGACTTCGTAAGTTTCAGGTCTTTCCAGAATTCGACATATGTCTCTGGCGGGTGTCATAGTGAAGTAGTCAACCAATGGCCAATGAACATTCTGATCCCATTTAACACGGCCGAAAGAAGAGATGAAAATTGGGTACCTTGACGTGCTATACGGCCTTGCATCATGGCCATGACTACTACGAGTTATATTCTCCAATGACTAATTCCCGACCTCGACAGCCGGACAGACGCTCATGTCAACGGAACTTCTTTCTTCTACTCTTAACTGTATCATTTCATGTAACACGACGTGAAAGTCTTGCCTCATTTTTCTCAGAAACGACGACTCTAAGCTGCCCTTCAAGATCACATTCGCCATAATTGATCGCAAAAAGGTTCGCAAACAAAGGGACATCTATACACTTAACCCCATCAACCACCATCCATACCTAACTCATCCCTTCCCCACACCATTTGCTTATAACCTAATCATAGCACAAGCAAGGAATCGGCAATGGAGAGAGAGAGAGAGAGAGAGAGAGAGAGAGATCCATTACCTTCACAGTTTCTCTCGTTTTCCACAAGTCCTGCCGCTTGAAGGCTCCACACCAAGTTTGCCTTCCTTTATGACATAGCTGAACAGAAGAATTTGAGCAACTTCCACTACTTCACATTCTAAAACACAGGGACAGAAGAAGGATTTACAATAGCATTACTCACAAGTCACAACATATCGAAATGTATAAGATTCAGCACAACATCAGAGGACCCCCCATTTCAATTCGTGTGGTCATAAGTTCCCGACATTGCAACCGTCCTCATTCGGTTCATGATCCTCGATGCATCATTCAGTCTGTTTGCCCTTTCAAATATGCCGGCAACAACAAGATGCAATTCCTTCTTGTTGACGTTAGGATCGGAGTCCAGCTTCTCGAATAGGGATTCCACTGCAACAAAATCCCTCCTTGCACCGTAGAGACTCAACATCTGGAAGTGGACTTCAACTGGGAACACACACCCTTCTTCTTGCATTTCCGCATAAACTGCATCTGCTATATCGAATTCCCTGAGCTTCCCATATGCATTCAGGACTAGAGCAATCACATCAGAGTCGGGGAAGTATCCAGCTCCTCTCATCTTCTCAAACACCTCGATCACATTCACGTGTTTCTTGTTCCTGGAGAAGAGATTAATCAAGCATCCGAAGACAGAAATGTCCTTAACCTCCCCTGCATCAAAAGCCTGCCTGAAGACCCATGTCGCCTCTTCTATTCTACCAGCTCTAGCGAGAATTTTGATGGCGGTGTCCCTAGGGATATTATCGGGTCTCTTCAGTTCATGGAGGAGACGTTTGGAGTGAGCAACCAACCCTGCCCTCTCATAAGCCACGATCATTGTTTGATAGAGTACAACATCAATCTCAGCCCCCGAACTCCTTAGCTTCTGAAATAACATTGCCGCCCTGTCTAATTTTCCTGCCTTTTCCCAGATGGAAATGATTGTCGAGTAGGTGATGGGGTTGGGCTCAATACCTTTCTTCTGCATTTCCTGAATGAGATTTGTAGCCTTCTCATGCTCAAGCGTTTTGCCATAGATATTGATCATCGTGTTATAAGTGACAACGTTTTGCTCAATGTCTTTTCTCTGCATCAATCTAAATAGATGGATAGCCTCCCCGAAAAGCTCGGCTTCTCCATAAACCCTCAAAAGCGTGTTGTAGCTTACTACAGTAGGTTGGATTCCCATCTTCCTCATGCTCCAAAACAACCGATCCGCTTCTTTAGCCATATCGAGCTGTCCATAAACATCGATCATGATATTACACGTCGTGAGATCAAGTGGGCACTTCACCTCATTCATCTCAGCAAATACTGACAAGGCCTCAAGAAACTTGTCATTTTCGACATAAACAGTCAACAGAGTAGAGTAACTAACGGTATCAGGAATGACCTCCACATCCCTCATTTCCTTCAACAACATCCTCGCTTCCCTAAAAAGCTTTGCCTTCCCAAACACATTGATCATCGAGTTATACGCAACCAAATCAGGGGTAATCCCATTCCTTTTCAACCTCATAAAGATGGAGATAGCCTTGGAGTAATCACGCAACTTCCTAGCAAGCTCAATCAAGTTACTATACAACACAAGATCACCCGACACCCCGTCTTGCTCCATCTGTTGAAGCCAGAAAAGGGATGAATCAAACTTCCCCGATTTCCCAAACTCGGTGATGAGGGTAGAGTAAGTATGCCTATCTGCCGCCAAACCTCTCTGGCGCATTTCGTCGAACAGCCCGTGTGCAAGCTCCCATCTTTTCGCTCTCAACACGTTCCTCAACACCACGTTGTACGCAAACACGGACGGCGAGTACCGAGCCACCTCGTTGATCCAATCCAGTAGCGCGAGCGACCTCTGCCAATCCGGTTCCCGCGAGAGGAGCGAGACCATGAAACGAATCGACAGTTGCCTGTCGTTGTACGGGGACAACAAGCAGTACAGTTCCTGCTCGTTTCGGGTTTGCCTGATGGAAGAAAGGAGCTCGCTCATGTCTATGGTGCGGTCCAAGTAAATAGGCTCTTTGGTTTGTCTTCTCGATGGGTTTCTGGTCCATACATCTTTCCTGGTCGCGCCGGAGTGGACCAGATGGGCTCCGGCCCCGACGGTGGTCGTAGAATTCGTGGCGGCAAAGGCATCAATGCGGGATTTGGGTATGCGTGTAAGGAAACTGGAGAGGATTGAAGAAGATGAAGGAGAAGAAATGAAATCAATGGATTGCAGAGCAGAGATGGAGAGGGAGTACATTGGTGGGGTTTATTTTACAGGTCTCACCTGGGAAAGAGATTTTCCTGCCAGATGGCGGGTAATACTTTCTTTCAACCTATCGTGAAAATAAAAATAGTCAGTTATCACGGATCTCATGGGCTGGGTCGAGGTCAGAGGCTCCAACTAGGGCTGATCCAGCAGATTGGGCCTCATTAATGATTTAAAAACTGGTGCATCTTGGGCCAACGACTAACCATTGCAATTCCGTGTTCACTCAAATCCCAGTATCTGATCCCATTTACAAAGATGACACCCTGATTGTGATCAAGAGAAAGAGGACTAACTGCATGATAATGGAGGACCTGAGACCTTGTCCAGAAGCAGAAGAGCGAGGAATAGGAGAAGAGGGCGCGGCACGAAGAGTGGCATTTTCTTTTGGGCAGACGAAGTTGCAGCGACTGGGATGGGCGATTCTGTACACACCATTGCTGGCCAAGATGAAGACGTCTTTCCTATTGTCCTCTCCGAAGCTGAATATGTAACCAAGCGAAGGCAGCGCACTAGTCCCTGCATCGGACGAACATGCAACAGGAGAGTCGTGTGCGCATTTTACCTCGAGAAGGTTGGTGCTGAAGTGTCCACTGTCGTCTGGGTTCTCCGTCCCTGCCCACACGTTTCCACCGTACAAATCAGCATAAAGGTACCTGAAGGAAAAAAAAGTAAAACACAATACTGATTTAGTTGAGCTGAGTTTGGTCAACCTCAAATTTCAGTAGCGAATGTGGTGATGAAAGTTGTTCACAAGCAATGTGCTATCGGTTGAGCAGCTTGGAATCTAAACTGTGATAAGGATTGGAGTTTGAGCTTCCGTACCTTCCATACATACATGGATCAGTAGTTGAGCGGTAGAAATAGCCACCAGTGATGGAAGCAGATCCCGTTTTAACTTTATTGATCTCATAGTGATTGTACCCCATCACAGGAAAGATTGGGTTCATGGAGCTTTTCATGGTAGATGAATTCGCCGTCACCTTTGAATTTGTGTCGTTGTAAACGGAAGGCCCTTCATAAACCCTCCATCCATAGTTTCCGCCCTTGCTCACAAGGTTCACCTCTTCAAACATTTCCTGTTATATCAAATTCCCCCTTCAATTCACCAGTCTTTCCATGTAACTTGAATTACAAGGCAACTGTAGGTAAAATGCAAGGCTTACCTCGCCAACATCGGCACAGAGGAAATACGAAGGTCTAGTTGCATCAAAGCTACATCCCCAAGGATTTCGAAACCCCATTGCCCAGATTTCAGGTTTGAAATCCTTATTTTCTGTAAATGGGTTATCTCTAGGGATGGAGTAATTCCCCCATAAACCCAAGTCGTTTATTGCTTTTGCACCTACAGTTCAAGAATATCAGGAAAGTCTTGAATCATGAAAACAGTAAATAATGGCATAAGATAAAGCTTGAACTGTTAAAAAAAAAAAAAACTCACTTGCTACATTGTCAACATCAATTCTCAAGATCTTCCCAAGTAAAGACTGCTTCTCTTGTGAGAAATTTTGAGGATCGCCTTTGCTTCCACCATCCCCCATCATAAAGTACAAATACCCATCTTCAGGTCCAAACAGTATTTGACCACCATGATGTGCACTGTAAGGAAGCCCCATTGTCAATATTCTCCTTACTTCCTGTGGAAGTAACCTCATCCACTGCATTTAGCAACCCGATGAAAAGTAAAATACTAGAACTAGACATGGTAAAACAACACAAGAAGACCTTTTTCTTTCTATACCGTGCTCGGAGGTTGCAATGCAGTACCGTTGGCACTGTACTCAGCTACAACGCTATGGAATTGACAAGGCTGTCCTCCATCTTTTGAAGGAAGCAGTGAAGGATCACAGCCGAAATCTGAGTTACACGAGCATCTCCCTGAGCATGTGGGTGATGTCACCTTATCACAGTTATATGAAGCAAATAATCGGCCATTCTGTTCAAACTTAGGATGGAAGGCTATCCCCATTAGCCCAAACTCGCTGTCGAAATGTACCTGATCAGTCAGGTCGAGAAACGGATTCGATTCATCGAGCACCATCACTTTCCCAGACCCTTCTTCTGGCAGAGTCGCCAGCCAAATCTTGCCGGACTGGCTTGCCAGAAGAACCCGATTTGACCCATCTGGCAATGCAGTCATGTCGAGGTATGAGCCATTGCCAATTTTCTCCAGGCAGACTCCGCTAGAAGGTGGTGTTCCTGGTATATTATTGTGCTTTAAGACTGGCCCTCCTCCGAAACATGTTGTGTTAACCCCTCCAAATGCACTGCAGAAACCAGTCTCTGAATCCCAGAAATCAGTCAACTTGGTAAAGGACTTCCCCGAGGCTGAACCAGCTCCACCTCTCAAAGTAAATACAGAGTTTGATACTGAGACATTGTGACATTGATTCCAAACTTCAGAGCAATAGTCATTGCACAGATTGGGTACCAACCGAGGTACAGATCCAGTCCCGTATAACTCTGCTGAAAAAGGATCACATCTCTGCCACCCCAGAAAGTTGACAACCAGAAAATCAAGTTGTTAGGAAATGGAAACTATTTTGTAACAGAAGGATAAACATTACATGGGTGGGTAGAACTTAGAAGCTACTACTCACTGAGCAAAGTATGGATTTGATGATGGAGGCACAACGTGGAGCAGCCGGCACATTCATTGCCTTGAACTGGTTCTGCAACTGAAGGTCTTGAGTGGAGTTACAGCACACACTTCCATTGTACTGACAGAAGCCAAGAGAGGGTTTTGTGGTAAATGGTGCTCCTATTTTCCGAAGCAAAACAAACCAACAAAGAGAAAGATTGATCAGAAGACAAATCTGAGAAGAAAATGCACAAGATGCAAAAAAAAACAATAAAAACTTACTTGAATCAGTACACAATGGATGGGTGTAGCCATGTTCAATTAGCAGTGCGAAGAAACAGAAAGAGAAAACTGTGACTGCAACACCGCCCATCTCAAAGGAATAAAACAGGGAGGGGGTAATCAAACCATGGGATCAATTTACTGAGTTTGAGAAATTCTTGGAAATATGAAGAGGCCCAGAAAATTGTGCAGTCAACTCATTGACCATTTTGGTTCAAATAAACTAATAACAACTTGGTCCTAGTGAAATCTAAATATTCTATCAGCCCAATGAGTTTGTTTGTCACTATAGGACAGAAACCTTGGATTTTTCTATTCCAAATCCAGAAACAGGAGCCTAGCTTTGCTGATAAACAAAATCACGATAAGGGTGCAAATTCTCTGACAGTCATTAGTTGACTTTAGTTGAAGGGAAGGAAAAAGAAGGGGGGGGGGGGGGGGGGGGGGGGGGGGAGGAGGAGGAAAGCTTACCAGAATAGGAATGGATGGAAGTGGAAAAACTTAATTCTTCAACTTGACATATAAAATGATATTGCGGCTACCACTGCCATATCATTCCAGCAGAGTTGACTTCAATTTTATTTAGTGATGAGAAAGAGGGAGGTAAAGGAGCCATTTTCATCCCCAATGTAACTGATGTGTCGTTGTATACATACCAAATACAATCTGAGCATATCATCATTTCATCTTGGAGCAAGGCACTCTTAACCTAAACCGCATTGAACATTACCAGTCTATCTAGTCTATCATTCATGTTAGTCAGTCGTCTGTCAAATAATTTGCTGAACCCAGTTGGTGAATCTTGAAGATCAGGTAGAGCTGTGTCAGAAAATGGCATTTCCCATACCTACCCAAATTACAAAAGTTACTCAAGGTGAAGGATTTTTGCAAAATTTAAGTATTGTGAAGAAACTGTAACGAATATGCACTACACCATTTAGTACTTACTTTTTTTTGACTGAAGTTACAACTTACAACAGCTCTCATTGTCAGGAAACAGCAATAATGTTCCAAAGTGATAAACAAGAATGCTGATTATTGGTGGAACCCAGTAACAAATCTTTGAGTTCCAGCAAAATCAGGCACTATGTTGAGATTGCTGAAGCTGCCATCGAGTTCTCTTTGAATGTAGTCTACTAGATACTTGCATTGCTCTTCACCATTTGTCTGAAGCACACACCAAAAAGTAGATTAGGGGGATTAACGTAATCAATCAGATCTCAGTATGCAGATTATTCATTATAGCAAGGAGCACCATACAAATAACTCAGTAACAGAGCAACAGTTATCTCTGACTTGGATGTGATTGCAGCTATGGCCTTATACAGATCCCTCTAATAAAGTATATTATAACAGCACATGAATGATACTTCCCAACTACTGAAAGCAGAGAGAACTACGGATTGTCAATTAACTTGCCTCAAAGGCAAAAAATCCACCAGCTTTCAACATTTTAGCAGCTCCAGTAGAAAGAAGGAGAAGACTATCCATGCCACAGTCACCACCATCTAATGCAAGCTTCGGTTCATGTCTGCCAACTTCAGCTTGAAGCTGGGGCATATGGTTGCTTGGAATATACGGTGGGTTACTCACAAGACCTGAAAGTTTTCCTTCTAAATTCCCCAACGGCTCAAACCAAGAACCCTGTCTCACCTCAATCACGTCCTGTTTTCAAGATGAGAATTAAATCTTTGAGGAAATGCAGAAATCGACTTGGTTGTAAGTAGCTAAACTGGGCAGTGGGAACAGACAAATAACATTAGAGTCCAAACATGAAAGGAAGTATAGAACTACAGTGAATTTTGGGGAATGTCGAATTCTAAAGCAACTAGGCAGAACTGGATGCATACTGACCTGGAGGCTATACCTCTGCACGTTAAAGTTGGCCACAGAAACTGCAAGCGGACTTACATCCGTGGCAATGACACGGCCAGAACTCCCCAAAACCTTCCCAATTCCAATGGCAAGAGCGCCACTGCCAGTCCCCAAATCTGCCCACGTCCCATTTCGCAAATCATCCGTTCTAGACACCAATTCCTCCACCAAGTCCACAATTAGTTCAGTCTCTGGCCTCGGAATCAAAACCCCTTCCTGAACACTCAGCACCAAATCTCTCCAGTGCTCACACCCAACAAGATACTGCAAAGGCCTCCTTTTCTCGATCCGGTCTTTCCACAAGTTGTAAAGATCATCCAGACTGGCCCTCAGCTTGACATTTTCACAAACACCTTCCTTGCTTGCTTGTCGGAACGAGGAGGGATGTTCAATTGCGTCCTCTAAAAGCCAGTTCAGCTCTCTACACAGGAGGGTTGAATCAGGGCCATTGTCCGCTTCGACAAACGACGACCCAACTGAGGACGCGAGAGTTTTGGCCCATTCATGCCATTTCTGGAGCTGGAGCGAAGTTGCGGCATGAATTGGTGGCCTCTCGAATAAAGGGATTTGGGGCTTCGGCACTACCGTCGAGAGTTGCCGCGGGGAAGAGCAAATCGGCCGGGAGTGGAAACACGCACGGGCGAAGCTGTAGGAAACCCGGCCCCGGGTTAGAGAGGGAGAGGGCCGGTCGGCCAAGAGGGGGAGGGAGAGAGTGGCAAACTTGTTATTTTGGGTTATTTCGGTTTACACTACTTAAGGACGCATTTCATTAGTTTTGGGAATTAAGCAATAAGAATCATAAACTATCAAATCCCTAATCTCTCTTCTCTCTCTTGTTCTTCCCCAATTCCCCCAAATCCCTAATTTCTACTCTTCTCAATCCCTAAAATCCCAATTGGAATTTCTTGTGTTCTACATCTGGTATCAGAGCCCCGATCTTCGATGAGTTCTTCCAAACTCTCGGACCTGTCATGGGCAGAATTGAGAGACCGAGCACGCAGCATCGGAAGGAGGTGGCTGGCCGACGAACCGGAGGCCGCGCGCACCGTCCCAGCGACCCCCGCCGCCGCGCGCCTGCCCCCGCCGGCCTCCCCAGCGCCGCGCGCCGCCGTTTCCCCTGCGTCGCCGGCCTGCTCCCCGCCGAGCGCCGCCGTCGCGCCCCCGGCGCCCCGCCCCGCGGCGACTGCCGCGACCTCCCCAGTCGCGCCAAGCGCCCCCCAACCCTGCCTCTCGCTGCACTCGATGGCGGGCTGGGCCTCCCCGGGGACTCTCCGTTTCCGAGCTCGAATAGAGGATCGTTTGGCCATCACTCTGGTCGACAGTGGCGCGTCCTTGAACTTTGTAGGTGAGGAATTCGCCAAGCAACTGCAACAGGTGGCCGAGGCCACCGATTCCATGGTGGTGAAGGTGGCGAATGGCTCTACACTGAGCTGTGGAGGAGTACTTCGAGGTATATCTTTGGAAATTCAGGGACTGCCTATATGCACTGATCTGTATATACTGCCAATCAAGGGATTCGATATTATTTTGGGAATTCCATGGCTACAGAGTTTGGGTCCTGTGACTAGTGATTGGCGCAGGTTGACCATGCGTTTCAAATGGAGGGATAAGGATTGGCAGCTGCAGGGCCTCACCACCGTGGCTGGTCCTATCTCGATTGAGGACTGTGGACCGGAGGGTGAAGCCGATTTGGCCATTTTGTGTTGGCCAATTGAAGACGGGGCGCCGCCGGTGCTCCATCCGGAGCTTCAGGAGCTGCTTGGCCTTTACTCGGATTTATTCGAAACTCCCACTGCCTTACCTCCTCACCGACTAGTTGATCATCAGATTCAGTTGAAAGAGGGAGTGGAGGCGGTGAATGTGAGACCGTACAGATATGGGCATTCGCAGAAGGAGGAGATCGAGAGACAGGTTTCTGAGATGCTGCTCACGGGCTTGATTAGGCCGAGCACCAGCCCGTTCTCATCACCGGTGTTGTTAGTGAGGAAGAAGGATGGGACCTGGCGCTTCTGCACGGATTATCGGGCTCTGAATGCAGCCACAGTGAAGGATCGCTTTCCCATCCCGACAGTGGATGATATGTTGGATGAGCTTCATGGATCCCGCTATTTTTCGAAGCTGGATTTGCGGGCAGGTTATCACCAGATCCGGATGCAGGAGGAGGATGTCCATAAGACGGCGTTTCGCACTCATAACGGGCACTATGAGTACTTGGTGATGCCCTTCGGATTATGCAATGCGCCGTCCACCTTCCAGGCTGCCATGAATGATATTTTTCGGCCCCTGCTGCGCCGGTATGTCCTGGTTTTCTTCGATGATATTCTGATTTACAGCCCTTCTTGGGCAGAACACTTGGCTCATTTGCAGGCAGTATTCGAGGTTCTACGGGCAAATCAGTACTATATCAAGGCATCCAAGTGCAAGTTCGGGGTGCAGGAGGTGGAGTATTTGGGTCACATGGTGACTCCACAGGGTGTGAAGGTGAACCAGGCCAAGATTCAGGCCATGGTAGACTGGCCGGTTCCCACGACGGTGACGGAGTTGCGTGGTTTTCTGGGTCTGACCGGGTATTACCGGAAGTTTGTGCAGGGGTACAGCATGATCGCCCGGCCATTGACGGATTTACTGAAGAAGGGGGGGTTTGCATGGTCACCAGCAGCGGAGGCTGCATTTCAGCGGCTGAAGCAGGCTATGACGACCACTCCGACGCTAGCCATGCCGGACTTCTCCAAGCCATTTGTGATCGAGGCGGATGCATCGGGCCGGGGAATCGGGGCGGTGTTATCTCAGGACCGCCATCCCATTGCCTTCATGAGCAAGACACTAGCCCCCTCCAAGGAGGCTTGGTCTACGTATAAGAAGGAAATGCAGGCGATTATTACAGCAGTGCAGACCTGGCGGCCATATCTCCTGGGGCAGAAGTTTCACATTTACACCGATCACCAGAGCTTGAAGCACCTCCTCGAGCAGCGGGTGTCTACTCCGGATCAGCACAAGTGGGTATCGAAGCTGTTAGGCTACGATTATGAGATCCACTATCGACCGGGACCCACTAATGTGGTGGCGGATGGGTTATCGAGGAAGCCGGGCAGCGAGATCCTCGCCGCAGTGACAGGGCCTGTTCCGCAGTTTTGGGATGAGTTACGGGCATCCATGGAGACCAGTCAGTATTTGCAGGATTGCCGGGAAATCGCCGTGAGCGATAACCCGGGTCATTATTTATTTCGGCAGGGGCTGGTGACGTTCAAGGGTCGAGTCGTTCTCCCTCCGGGCTCGAACCTGGTCACTTCGGTACTTCAGGAGTTCCATGACTCGCCGTTGGGAGGGCATTCCGGCGCCGAGAGGACGCTTCGCAGGATTAAGGGCCATTTTTACTGGCCCAGGATGGCACAGGCAGTGCGGGACTATGTGGAGTCATGCGATACGTGCCAGAGAGTGAAGTTGTCTTACCTGCGACCCGCCGGCCTGCTACAGCCGATGCCGGTTCCGGAACGGGTATGGGAGGACATCAGCATGGACTTCATAGTGGGGTTGCCCCCGTCAGGTGGGAAGACAGTTTTGTTCGTAGTAGTGGATCGGCTCACGAAATATGCTCATTTTATGCCTTTGGCGCACCCGTACACGGCCAAGATGGTGGCCGAGCAGTTTGTCTTGGGAGTGGTGCGACATCACGGATTTCCCAGGTCTATTGTCAGTGATCGTGACCCGGTTTTCTTGAGCAGGTTTTGGCAGGAGGTTTTCGTCATGGCACGGACTGTACTACGCATGAGTTCGGCCTACCATCCACAGACTGATGGACAGACAGAGATAGTTAACAAGTACCTGGAGCAGTATCTGAGGTGCTTTACCCACCAGCAGCCGCGGCAGTGGCTGGCCATGCTTCCTTGGGCGGAATTGTGGTATAATACCACATTTCACAGGTCTATTAAGATGACACCGTTCGAGGCGTTGTATGGGAGGTCACCACCGACATTGGTACAGTACAGAGGCGGGTCGAGCTCGGTGGATGCGGTGGACAGGTGGTTGAGCGCGAGAGATGAAGCACTGGAGCAGTTGAGGACTAATTTGGCTGCAGCGTCCAATAGGATGAAGCAGGCCGAGGATGCAGGGCGGCGGGAAGAGGAGTTTGAGGTGGGTGACTGGGTTCTGTTGAGGTTGCACCCCTACCGGCAGTCCTCGGTTTTCAGGCGGGCATACCAGAAGCTGGCAGCGAGGTACTTCGGGCCGTACGAGATCATCCTCAAGGTCAACCCCGTTGCCTATCGACTACAGCTGCCTGCAGGTTCGCGCATACACCCGGTGTTCCACATTTCCTTGCTGAAGAAGTACCGGGGCCAGGCGGACAGGGTGACGTCGACGGCTCCTCCGGTGACAGCAGATGGTGACTTGGAGCTCGTTCCTCTCAAGGTACTAGAGACCCGGTGGACAAAAAGAGGGGGGCGGCTGGTGGAAGAGAGCTTGGTGCAGTGGAAGCATGTGGAACCGGACGATGCTACTTGGGAGGAGTCAGAGGTGCTACGCCAGAGATTCCCAGCCTTCGACATCGAGGCCGATGTCGATTCTGAAGGAGGAGGGGATGTAGGAAACCCGGCCCCGGGTTAGAGAGGGAGAGGGCCGGTCGGCCAAGAGGGGGAGGGAGAGAGTGGCAAACTTGTTATTTTGGGTTATTTCGGTTTACACTACTTAAGGACGCATTTCATTAGTTTTGGGAATTAAGCAATAAGAATCATAAACTATCAAATCCCTAATCTCTCTTCTCTCTCTTGTTCTTCCCCAATTCCCCCAAATCCCTAATTTCTACTCTTCTCAATCCCTAAAATCCCAATTGGAATTTCTTGTGTTCTACAGAAGCTTAGTTGCATAGCTAAACACACTTCCTCGTTGACAAGGTATTTCTCACTTCGTGATTTTCCGGCGGGCAAAGCTATGTGTGCTACGGAGTTGAGTAGCTGAGCCAGTTAACCGTGAGGGCTGAAGTGGCGGGTGATATAACGGGGTTAAATTTCAATTTCATCCAAATTGACAGCAGTAAATTTCAGTTTCGTCCAACTTTGACAAATATTGTAGGGAATTTTATTGCTCCAAAAATACATTTGTTTGGCTTATAAAAAAAATACATTTGTTTGCAATTAAAAAATTTGTTGGCTGAATTTGGTAATATGCTCTTTTCGGAATTTGAAGCCAAATTTTTAATATTTTTTTTTCAAATTCAGTAGTTGAAACGAAAATCACAGAGAGGAAGAAAGAAAAGCGCGAGAGTCGGCCAATAATCGAATCTCGATGAGAGGGCCTTTTATGCCACATGATGGGCAGCCCTAATGAGTTGACGAGAAACAAAACACTAAGAAACTCGAAGCTAAGCTCCTAGCATCCTCCAAAATAGCTCCATCCCGATCATGATGCAAATCACCTCCAACCATCCGTTTTATTTTATAGTTAAATAGAATTGTTTATATAGTATGAACTAGAAATATATATAACACACTAATTTTAGAATTGAACACTAAAGATAAACCATTTAAAATTTGTATTGTCCATCATTATAGGTTCTAACTTATAACAAATCATTCGAACTATCTCACAAAGCTCAAACAAAAAGTCTATCAAATTCAAACTAGCAATTAGGGCACCACGTAAAGTCAAGAAAGTTAGAAAAAATAAGAACAGGAAACAAAATAAAAGTAGTAATCTAGTATGGATGGTATTAGTTCATGTTACAGTTCTTTCTCTTAAACATTTCTCGTTAAAATACTAGACCAGTCAAAACGAAGGAAGTGATACATCTAATTACAAGTCCAATTATTAAAAACCATTTGGCGTGCCCCTAACTGTACAAACAAATGGTTGACCCTCTATTGCAACAGACATGAAGGTTCCACTCAATCTGCCAGTGACGATCTTGTTCTTATAACAAATGGGAGTACAAGACAATTTTCATACCAACTCTATATGACAAGCTAATATTTAGAGTTAAATTTTGCCACCTCACATGGCGTTCATGTTAAGATTATCACAGTACGGAACCTCATGAACATACTAGTTTTCATCAATTCAAGTAAATTCGGTCTATATTCGTGATTGGCATAAGTGGGTTTTCCATCGGTTTGATAAAGCTGATTAGACCTTTGGCCCATCTCTATTTCTTGTTAGCCTGCTTGCCTTGCCTTCTGAGTTCTGACCATGCTTCTTTCTCTGTTGTGGCTAGACCATCTGCCAGGTGCTAAGAATACTTAGCGTCCTTGCGACCACCTTGAATCCCGCCTTCAGATTAGTAATAGATGGCCAACTCTTGCGTCAATTGAGGACTGTCTCTTGAGAGAAAATAGCGCGCTTGCGCAGTAGCTCGTGGTTGATGGATGATCGAAGTGTTGACGGAGCCATGTAATGGGAGTCAGTCCATCTAACGGTTAAACCTAAACACACAAGGTTTCTCTCTCAATTGCTGACATTCAAAATTCATGTTGTGTGCCATTATCGTCGGGTTGTTTGGGAACTTGCCAACATCACCAAGGAAAGAAGTACATACAACAGATTTCCAACATTGCAACAATTGTTACTTCCGAGTTTAACACTCTGAAAGTAGTTTTATCCTTAATTCTTGAATTTTACCCCGTCTTTCCTTTTGATGTTTCCTTGTAAGGTAGAGAGTAAAGGGCTTAGCTTCTCAGTGCTTCCTTTTATACTATGTAGCTAGATCTTCTTGTCAAACATCTACTAAGCCAAACTCTCTCACTATACCTTCTACTAGTGTCATATTGCAACCTAGCATTTTCTTGATCTTTCTTAGCTTATCACATAACTCAACTACTCAAGTAAGCAATGCATAAACAAAACCAAGCCAGTACCTCATCTCCATCTCCATTTTCCTACTCTGGAAGCACTTTTGCATCAAGTTCTGCAGCATAGACATGCTGATGGCTTTGACAATCGGTCGTATAGAAGCAATCGTGTCTTCCGACCTTTGTCTGCACTAGTTCAAATGATGTTTCCAAACCGCATAAAGCAAACACCAGTAATACATTGTGAAATGTAATGGGAGAATAAGAAGAGGTCGTGGAAGTCGTCGACATGGTGAAGCAGCAGAGAACAGAGGCAGAAAGAATAAGTAAAAAGAAGGGCACAGAACTCGTTGGAGTTTACTGATGCTCTGATACCATGAAATGTAATGGGAGAACTTGATTTCTATTGATCAATATCTGTACATATATAGCAGTTCTAGACTGTTGCTAACAACCTATTCCTAAGGGAAAGCCAAAACAGAGTGGTTGTAGACTAGGAAACAGACTAACAGAAAGAGAGAAAGGTGAGGTATACATGGCTGCTCTATCACATTGCTCATTCTATGGCCCGATTCCATACTCGATGACCTTCCCGTTGCAATCCAACAATGAGTACATGCCATCAAAACCCCAAGTAAACAACTGCATGAGGATTAAGTCCATCTTCCACCTGCATTTTCCTCAAACACCCGATTGGTTCCTCACATAGCTATACATCACAAAACCACCAAACATCACTGCCTCGGTGAAAGCCACTTGTTTTAGTCCTCAACTATGAGATCTCTAGGGCCATATGTATACATCTAGCCGCAAAGTGCAACAACATGTAATAGTGTATCCTCCACCAACCATTCTGTCTTGACCTAATGAATCAACCTCCCTGACTATGCTAAACTAAGCACAAGCTTGCAACGCTGTATTTATACAGACTTCAAACTTCAAACCAACATTTTCATTGCATCACAAAAACGCCTTTGCAATCAACAGGAAAACGATCCAGATGAGGAATTTCGTCGAACACCTGTCGTGCACAGTTCATAAAGTTCCACTGACACATATAATGCCCAAAGCCAGAAGTTTGAATGCGCGCACATGCTATAGCCAACCCATTTTTTACACCTTATTGTGCATGCTCGTACCCAGAAACAAGCACCAGTTCGTCGAGTGGCACCACAACTCGCGAGAGTTTAAATTTCGGCTCCGAGCTGGATGATGGCGGCCTGACAGGGTTTTTCTTGTTTCTGCTTTCTTTTCTAATTTTAAGATGGAGTTTTTACTTTTTAGTCATTAAAACGGCGTCGCTAGGAGGAGTTTTGACTGTCAATTGTCAACCCGACTCAGGCCGGCCGGGTATAGCGTAGGCTAAAGAGTCAAAAGTCAAGGCCGTCAAGGCGCCAAATCGGCCGATCAACTAACAGCCAGACTAAGGCGGCGACGACACTGCAATAGCTAGAATAGCACTATATTAGTAGACCAGGTGGTTTTTTGCTGCTGAGACATTTGCAATTCATTCCATGGTCTTGAAAAGCTTCGTCCTCCTCCAATTTGGAAGCCTTTCTTCTTCGCCTTTAACGGCGTCCGCCGCTCGCCGTTGCAATTTTGGTCATCTTCGCTCGGTTACTCCCAGTAGACGCGTCTTTACTTGCGCAGCTGCAACAACAACTCCACCACCACGATCAGACGAAAAGGTGAAACGGATTGCTCTCTCTTTTTGCTTCGTTTGCGTTGTTTGTTTTTTATCTTGTTGTGGGTTTGATTGCGCTCTTGAGGCATCGTAGTCCAATTGTGAGCTATTATTGGTGGTTGTCGATGGAGCATCTGGAGTGTATGGATCACATTAGAGCTAAGTCCTTGGCACCTCATCTGAATGTTCTAGTTGTGGAGAAAGGAAAGCTTCTATCCAAAGTTCCTTCTTCCAATTTTTTATTTCGCTTTCTTATTTAATTTCTTGGATTTGGTCTGTTGAATTGGGGAGTGACTGCCCTTGAAGGTGAAAATATCTGGAGGAAGTAGATGCAACATTACACGGAGAAATTGTGCCTATGAAGCCATGGTTAGAATTCTCATGACTAAGTGAACTAGTTTGTTCGAGTATGGATAAGACAGTGTAGTGCTTTCGTTTACTGCTGCATCTTGACTTACATTGTAATCATATGGATGAATGGTAACCTCAATAGCTAAGAAAGGTTTTGGTTTTTATTAGTTTTCCCTAGCATCAAACTTTAATGCTTACAATTCCTTCAAGCTGCATATCTGCGATTTGAAATTCTAGTAGAGCTACTGTAGTTTCTTTTGGAGGCTTGGTTTGTCTGGATTCACTTTTAATGGGTTGTATATTTAGAATTTACTAACTGGAGGTATTGGTTCATAGATTTTGGCAGGACATTTCCCTAGAGGTTATAGAGAGCTAAGAGAGGGTCTTTCTTCAGCACTCATGGCCCCATGAGACACCATGTCTTGGTTTACAGATCATGGATGGGGTGGCATTGAACTTGAAGGTTTGTGTTTCTTCATTGTATTTTATTCGCTATTGTTTTTAATGAACGACATTGATTGATGAACATCTGACTTAGATTGAGGAGGATGAAACAGGGTTTACTATCAACAACAATTCATCATCAATAGTTTATTACTTGATTGTCTTCTATTTGAGGTCAGAGAAAGAGGATGAATGGTTTTTGATACAGTGTTGTTGGCTGAATATGTATTTAGTTCATGACTTCATATGATATTTTGACAGTTTTCAACTTTGATTATGCAAATGTTCATGAGATTTGGATTACTTGTTACCTCTGCTAAACTACATTGTTCATTTCTTCTTTAATTGGATACTTGTTTGGAAGGGTTATGATGATGATAATAAAAAATAATACTCCTTATAAAAAATAATAAATAATATTGCTAACTTACCATTGTTATGCAGGTAACAAAAAAAAAAAAAAAACCGGGTCCGGTAAGGGCAGGGCTAGTTAATCCATGGAGTGGGAAGGCCTGATAAAAGCGAAGTCTAGTCCCTCAGTCTTCTTGGCGTCAATCGACGGCTGCGAGAAGAAACGGCCGGAACAGCAGTTCACTCAGCTTTCCCTTTGGTGCCACAGTTTTCTGCACTGCATGCAAACTTTTCTAGACCTGATTGCCAAGTTCGACGCTTTTTACTCTTTTCTCTTCGAGCCCTAGTAAACAAACAGCGTTCTTACTACTTGTGTCAGTGTTTTGACTTGACTCGTTTCTTTCCCTGTTCAGTTTTTCGGCCCGGTGATCACTTTAGGAAGCACCACCGGCAATGGCGACGCCAAGAGAGCACATTGAGGAGCTTCGGAGGAGGACGTTCTCCATTGGGTCAGAGGAGAAAAATCCTCTTGCTTTTATGCTTGATAAAGTGGTCAAATACCTCTCTGCTGAACTCTATGCTAAGGATGTTCATTTCCTGATGGAACTCATTTAGGTCTTTCTGTCGTTCTAAACTCCTTCCCCGAGTCCGCAAAAGTTTATTGTGTTGTTTTGGTTCTACGACCTTGAAATTTTTTCCCCTTAGGTTTCTAACCTAAGTCTGTCCCTGTGCTTATGGGGTTCATTTGCAGAATGCGGAAGATAATGTGTACTCCAACGAGGTGGATCCTTCACTGGAGTTCATCATAACGTCCCGGGACATAACTGGAACTGGTGCACCGACAACACTACTGCTTTTCAATAATGAGAAGGGGTTTTCTCCCAGGAATATCGAATCCCTATGCTCTGTTGGAAATTCCACAAAGAAGGGCAAAAGAAAACGCGGTTATATTGGAGAGAAAGGTGTTGTGCTAATCTCTGTTCCCCTTTTCCACTCCACAATTTTTGTCTTCTTTCTGCTTCTTAGTTCTGCATTGTGTTGGAGCACTTTGTCTTTCTTCATTTGAGTTCTTGTTGGCATGATTTGCAGGAATTGGGTTTAAAAGTGTGTTTCTGATCACATCCCGGCCACATATATTCAGCAATGGGTATCACATTCGCTTCAACAAGAAGCCATGTCAACACTGCAAGCTTGGTTACATAGTTCCTGAATGGATCGATGATGAAGACAAGCCCTCTGTTGCAGATATACAACAGATTTACGGGCCTATTTCACCCTCCCCACTACCACATTGGTCTTGCCTCTTAAACCAGACAAGGTGAAAGCGGTGAAGGAACAGCTCTCCAGTGTGCATCCTGAAGTCTTGTTGTTCCTTTCCAAGATAAAGCACTTTTCAGTGAGGGAAGATCCCAACCTCAATACTGTTTTAACCATTTCAATTACTAAAGAGGTTGACTTAGTTTGGAGAAAGAGTATCGACGCCATGTCCTACACCCTCCACCTGTCTGCCGAGAGCAACAATGGTAAAGGCAATGGTGAATGCAACTACTATGTGTGGAAGCAGAGGTTTCCAGTGAACTTGGAAAACCGAGTTGAAAGTAGAATCGACTTGGAAGAACTGGTAGTGACTTTAGCTTTCCCAAATGGAGAACGTCTTCACAAAGGTGGAGGAAAGCATTCACCTGGCATCTATGCATTTCTTCCCACGGAAATGATCACCAACTTTCCCTTCATAATTCAAGCTGATTTTATCCTGTCATCATCCAGGGAAGTCGTGCTGCTTGATAGCAAATGGAATCAAGAGATTCTCGGGTGTGTCCCCACAACATTTGTTAATGCATTAGTTGCTGTGATCAAAAGCGACCAAGGTGTTCCAGTTGCTACTTTGCGTCAAATGTTTTGGTTTCTGCCAATCGAGGCTTCTTCATACCCACTCCTGAATGTTGTGAGGGCATCAATTCAGATGAAGTTATCTAAAGAAAGCATTTTGCCAAGTGAATCCCATAAGGATCAGAAGTTCTTTCACAAGCCCTGTGAAGTCGCTCGCCTTTTGCCTGCTTTATGGGATATCCTGGAGAAAGCCAGGGATGGAAATGTCAACCTTCATAATCTATCATCACATGGCTGCTATATCCTTGCTTCTTTGTTTGATATCGACGAGTATAATGCGGTTCTCGGTTTCCTGGGCGTGAGATTTGTGGCACATGAATGGTATGCAAAGTGTATCCAGAGCTCTAATCTCTTGAAGGGAATCTCAGATGAATTGTATGTAGAGCTTCTCCATTTCTTCGCTGAGAACTGGGCAACAAAATTATGGAACACAAACTTGAGAGGTGTACCTTTACTGAGACATGTTGGTGCTCATGGGAATGTGTGTATCTGTAGCATCAATGAATCTGAATCTGCCTCCAAGAAAAAAAGTGGTCGTGTCCTATGTCTATCAAGAGGAGTTCCATATGCATCATGGCTTAGTCATTGGAATGAGGAGTTTTGGCACATAACGCCCTTTTATTTCCTTCCAGAAACAACACAACGTGCATTGTGGTCATTTTCGAAAAGCAAAAATGTGCTACATTGGCTTAAATCTGTGGCAAGGCTTGTTGAGTTGAATGTGTATGAATATTCAAAGTCGATTAGTGAGCATTTAGGTGCTGAACAAAAGCTTGTAGTAGCCTATGCTCACTTACTGTATCGTTCACACTCAGACAAGCTTCTGTCAGACGATGGGGTTTCTTAAGCTGTGTCATCACATGCCACTTGTTGATGCCTATGGGACAGTTTTAAAAGCTACAATCACGTAGTCCTAATGCCTGGTGGTGAAAGTAGATGGATGGAATTGATTGGTTCAAATCCGTGGAGACAAAAGGGTTTTATCGAGTTAGGGGAAGAGTACTTACAGAAGGGATATTTTTGTGGTCATGGCTCAGGAGGTGACAAAGAATTCTTGGAGTTCCTTTAAACTCTTGTTAAAGTTTATGATATTCCTAATTTATCTCCTCCCAATGCTGAAATCCCTACAGTGACAGGACCACTCACCAAGCAGAATGCACTGTGGTTGTTGGATTGGATTGATGATCTCAAATCCAAAAGAATACAGATACCAGAGAAGTTCTTAACTTCCATAAGAAAAGGTAGCTGGTTGAAGGTTACTATGAACGGGTCTTCTGATTATAAGCCACCATCTCAGTCATTTTTGCTTTCTTTGAAGAGGACGAAAAACTCAGAATGGGGAAGCATTTTGCAAGATGGATCTGTGGCAGTTGATATCCCTTTGGTGGATTTGAGTTTTTATGGTGAAGATACTATTATTGCTCACAAGGTGGCACTCAAAGAAATTGGTGTCATGTTTGAATACGAGGAAGCTTGTGAGTATATTGGCCGACACTTCATGTCACATATTGATTCTACGACTTCAACGAGAGGCACTGTATTCTCGATGCTTAAATTCATCAGATTTCTGAGGGATAAATTTCTGCCCCCGTATAAATTCATTTCTAGCATAAAAGGGGATAAGTGGCTACAGACTTCATCACATGGTTACCGCTCTCCCGTTGAATGCGTTGTACGCAAGGGGCTTTGGGCTGTTGCAGAGCAATCTGTGAACTTCCCTTCATCAGTGATAGTTATTATGGACAGGAGATCCATTCCTTTGAAAACGAACTCAGTTGTCTTGGTGTGAGAGTTTGCTTCACTGTTAGTCACGATCTTATTGTCCAACACTTGAAACCCAGTGCTTGCTTGTCTGATGATTTGACAAAAGAAGCGCTTTTCCTGATTTTGGAATGCATGCGTAATTCAAAATCTGCTGCTTCTAAAGTTATCACGACACTACAACAAGCTAGATGTTTGAAGACGAGTTGGGGTTACAGGTCTCCTGGCGAATGTTTCCTATTTGACCCTGAATGGAGCTGCCTTCTGAAGGTTTTTTGGGGTTCTTCTCCGATCATTGATGGTGGTTTCTATGGTGATGAAATTAGCACCTTCAAGGAAGAGCTAATACAAATAGGAGTGAAGATAGATTTCAAGGATGCGATCGAAGCTTTCGTCGCCACTTTTAAGCAGCAGCAGCAACAACATGCATCAATGTCAAAGATTACAAAGGAACAAGTGCTATCATTTCTGTCATGCTTCAGACATTTGAAAGCAATGAAGAAACCTCTCTTTGATATCATAACCTGCACCCGCTCTCAGAAGTGGCTTCGAACGAGGCTTGGTGATTTTAGATCTCCAGCAGAATGCATTCTTTTTGGGCGTGAGTGGGAATCACTCCTTGCAATTATTTGCCTTCCTTTCCTTGACGATGGTGATAATATTGGCTACGGAAAGGGCATTCATGAGTATGCATGTGAGCTCCAGCAGTTGGGGATGATTGCCAGTTTGAAAGGTGGGGGGGGGCTAAGTTTGTGCCTTTGTATCTTCATTTCCCAAAGGATCCATCCACCATCACTCCTTCAAACGTACATTCACTGTTAGACTGCATCAGGATTCTACTGCAACAGAAAGATTATACACTTCCCGAGCTTTTTATGAAGAAGGTTTCTCAAAAATGGTTGAGAACTTGTGTTGGCTACAGGAGTCCAAAGGATTGCTGCTTGTTTGATTCCAGTTGGGGGGGACATGGCTCTTCAGCAGACTGATGGACCTTTCATTGATGAATCCTTTTTCGGTCCCGAAATTGCATCCTATAAGAAAGAGCTGGGTGAGATAGGAGTTTGTCTCGATCCAGGAGAGGTATGCAAGCTACTTGCCAATGAGCTTGAGAATCACTCTAAATTAACCACCATAGTCCGGATATATGATTTCTTGAGAGAGCAGAAGTGGAAGCCTCATCAGGAGAATGATGCATCGACGAGGTGCAAGATCTGGTTTCCTGACCATGGCTGGGTAAATTATGAAGAATGCATCCTGCACGATAAAGATGGTCTCTTTGGCTCCCAATTATACGTTCTGGAGAAACACTACAACAACAAATTATTGGGTTTCTTCAAGGAAGCATTTGGTGTTAGAGCTAATCCATCTCTGACTAATTACTGCAATCTTTGGAAGAGATGGGGAAACAGATCAAGTCACAGTTTGACTCATTCAGAGTGTTGTGCATTCTGGAGTTCTGTTGTTATTATGAGCCACCACAAGAGCGATAAGAGGAAAGAAGAAGTCCTTGCTGGAGAGCTCTCGAAGCTCCCAGTGGTTTCCCCGGTCGCCATGGGAGGACAAATACTGATGTCGGACAAGCGAGATGTTTTCATTGCGGACGACCTTCAATTGAAGGACCTCTTCTCGGAGTATCTGATTTTCGCCTGGTATCCTGAACCGAGCTTGCCTGATTTGCCTCGGACTAAGTTGCTGGAAGCTTACAGGGCAATAGGAGCTCGCCGAATTTCTGAGTCTGTGCAGAAGAAAGAAGAAAACTCAGACACCAAAAGTCAGACTTGTTCAGGAAAGAAAAGGAAAACAAAGAGTCGAGAACTCAGACAGTTGAAACCAGAGGATGTTTTCATAGGGAAAGAGCTAGTGAAGATCATACTCGCTTTTCTAGCTGATCCATCTCTCGACAAGGAAGCAAAGGAGAGGCACGAGAAAGTGAAGGCCCTCCTTAATGTTACGGTCTTGGAGACGGTGGAGCCTCTGAGTGTAAGCTACAATTTGACTCTATCTTCAGGGGAAGTATTGAGAAAGGTGAAAGCCACAGAAATGGTTCGCTGGGACAAGGACGATGACAAGTTGTACCGGAGAAGAAAACTGGTAGCAGCAGCAGGAGCAAGAGGAGTCTGATTGAATTTGCTTGTCGTTTCTCTGAAGTAATCGTGAAGGGGATACTTTGGGATAAAGAGGATTGCCATGTAAAGGAGCTTTCCGGGATAATCAAACTGGCTTTTCTGCTCAACTTCGATGAAGCAGCTATTGAGTTCCTGACGAAGTCCAATAATCTTCAGATCTTTGTAGAAGATGAGGAATTCCTCTCATCTGCTTTTCCCCCTCCTAATTAGGTGAGCTACAGCCTACAGTACAATCAGATCATTTCACTTACTATTCTTTGTTAGCTTATTTTGTGTCTGATCTGTTTTGCTCATACAATGTGATCTCTGTGTCTATTTGTATGCTTCTGGGGTTTTTTGTTCCTGAGTTTAGAAAATTGTGAATGCTGGACATGACATTCGAAGTGAGGTTGCTACGTTGGAATTTGATCATGTTCAATATTCCACATTGTTATTGTCAAGGAACCCAATGGCGAGAACCGGCTTCTAGTCAAGGTACAATTCCATAACCAAACCATCACCTTAATCACACATCAGTCTTGCTTTCTTTATACATATCATCATATATATAACCTTTTTCTGTTTCGTCCATTAAAAGGTTTCTTCGTTTCATGTTTCGCAGAGTACCTAAACTTTAATAAAATTGTCTTTCGGTAGATGTGAATGTGATTGTGAGTGTTGCAGACCTCATGAATAGCAAACATCAAGTCTTGTCTTCTACCTATTGCCTGTTAGCTTAATGCTCCTCTTCTTTTTGTGTGTGTGGGGGGTCCTTGAGTAGTAAGTGTGCAGGGGCCTATAAACTATGCTGCATATTCGTTTGATCTCATTCTTTTTTTCTTTCTTCTTCTTTTGATACTGGAGCATGGTTTGAACTTGGTTCCCTCACTTGTTGACCTGTTGATTGGACTAATTTGAGGGAATGCGTTCATTCTTTAGCAGCACAGCTGAATCGTGTGGGTATATCTTGTGTTGTGTATTTCTGCTGCTTCTAGGGGTGTACATGGGTCGGGTAGGTTGAATTTTGACCACTTTAGTCACCCAACCCATACACTGTGGTTTACACATCATAAAACCCAAACCCGCCCATTAAAATCATAACCCAATGGTTTGGATCGGTTCGAATTGAAGTATAATCCCAAACAAAACCCAACCAAATACAAACAAAGTTTCCAACAACTTTTTAACATTTTTCAGCAAACTCTCTTTGCCAAGATGTTTATTTTCCATGGGAATATGAAGTTCAAGTTTCCAATCCAATGAGAAAGTTAGACTAACTATTATTTTTTATTAATTCTATAATTTATCTCCCTCACATTATTGCTTTCCCCTCAGTATATTTATTTACGTGTCCATCTATATGTGAAGTACATGTCACATTTAATGGCACATAGAGAGGGCTTTGTTGATGGGTTGGGTCGGGTGATAATATACAAAATTTCCTTCAACCCGCACCCGCCCATGTATTGCAATTTCTCCCTTCTACAAGATTCGGATGGGTTCGGGCGGGTTGAACGGGTCGCGGGTTACTTTGTTCACCCCTTGTCCTACCTTGGTTCAGTTGTACTTCCCTGGGTAGTATCTTCTATCTTGTGTAATCCCTTATGGAACAAAATTGTCTCACCGTCCTTTTGAAATAATTTGATTAAGAGTGTTAAAGTGTTTGGTTTGTAAGGATTGTAAATGTAGACCAACATAGTTGGATGATATTACCCACAAAGCTGAAAATTGATGTTCATATTCACACAAAATAAAGAAAACAATTTGTTACAAACCAACTCATTTCATAATGAAAGGGAAGATGTAAGGTTAGTACCAAAACAACCCCTTACAAGTGATTGATTCGTGGATTGTTTGTGGCAGGGCGCTCGCTGTCTGAAGGAGCACATTTCACACACTCAACTTGCAGATGGATTATCCACTGTTTGAATCGATGAACCTTGCAGGAAACTGGTGATTTAGTAGGAGAGTTTTAGACTAAAGCAAACCTTTGCACTGCTTGTGCTACTATGTTTTGGCTCTCTGCTTAAATCATGTTTCAATATTTTGTTATGGGTTATAATTGTTCATCCGTGGAGATATGACGGTGTTGGAAGGGTCATGGAGTTGTTGCCAGGAGGTGGATATTTAGTGCTTGTTGCTTTGGTGAATATTGAATAGTGCTCTTGTTGTTAGACATAAGTTGTCATGCAGTCATTCTTGATGGGAGTTCAGTAGCCATTCGTTTATCTATGATCAAATATAAGTTGGATTAGGTTGGTTTCAATTGTATAGTACGCAAGATGCATGTATGTTGTCTTGATTGCATGCTCATTGTAGTATCAGTCCAATCAAGTATCAGTACTAGTTGTACAAATTTAGGGCTGCAAATGAGCCGAGTCGAGTTTTACCTCAGCTTGAGCTCGGCTCGTTAATAAACGAGTCGAGCTTGAGCTCAGCTCATTTATTATCGAGCCGAGTCGAGTCGAGTTCGAGCTAGCTTGTTTACTAAAATCTTGGATTTTATTTCATACTTCATTTTGTATATCATGATACATGTGATTTATTTTGTTAGTTAATCTCATATTATACTTTGTTGGTATCATATATCATTTAGTTAATAAATTTTAACTATCCCAACGTGTTAAACTTTATATGACGAGATATATAATTTAACAACCGTATGAATTAAAATCATAAGATATAGATTGATTCGTCCATAAGTCGATAATCCAGTTGACTCTCTAGCCACATGTTGAGACATATCATGAGCTCTAAAGGAGCCAACTCACGAGTTTAGTTCAAAAAGTCACCCGAGTCGAGTTAGCTCGCGAACTTCACGAGTTAAACAAAGCTTAGATCATGTTTGGCTCGTTTGTTAACGAGCAAAGATTCGAACGAGGTTTTCTCGAGTCGAACGCAGCTCATATGCAGCCCTATGTACAATAGAAACAAGCAAAGGAAACATAAAATTTTCTTGATTACTATTTTAGTCTGACTTCGACATAAAATTCTGGTGGCCAGTTCATTGTGTCCACATCCAAACCCACCTCAGCGACCCCTAGGCAAGTTACTAGTCCACTCTCTAGTATACTCTGTTTTGGTGTTTTAAACCATCCAACGGGGCCGAGATGATGTTTTGTAGCTTAAAAACCGACAAAGACGACATGAACATCATACTTACTGGACTGGTAAAGAAGATGAAATCTATTACAGAATGGTGAATCCCAACAATAAGCAATGAGAAGAAATTTCTATTGTTTCGCTCGCAATAGAAAATGCGAATTAGTTCAAAGTTAAATTCCGATGACCCACAACATACAACTATAATTTTTTTTTAAACTCTCATTTGGGAAGTCATCGGTTCGAGTCTCTTAAATAACATATAATAGTAAGAATTAAATCAACATCACCCTCATAAAAAAAGTTTGTGTTGATCTTTTAAAATGTAGGTTGAGTCGCGTTGTTTGTCAAGCGTAGTCGAGTTGTTAAATCAGAAACAACTCAGAGCAAACCTTATTTTATGCCATTTAATCTTAAAACCAATCGTTGATGTGGTATGCAATTTTATAGTAGATAAATAATTATCGATTATTTCCAAAAATTGGTGGATGAAACGATTTGATCGAAGAACATAGTGAAAGTTTATTAACTGTAGATAGCGTAGTTATTCAACTGATTCAAACCTTAAACTTGTCGTTGATGTGTAGCGAGTTATAGGATATAAATAATTTATTCGATTGTTTCCATGAACTGGTGGATGAGAAGCAATTCGATCGACGAACAAAGTGAAAATTTATTAAATGTATACAATGTAATTATTCTATCGATTAAAAAAATACAACTATATTGTTGTATGTCATTGATCTTCTTGTTGTGCACTAAGGTTTCTGAACTAATTCATGTTTTTTATTCCCAACGAACCTGCAGTTTTTCTTCCCATTGATTATTATTGTGATTAATCCTTTTGGAATAGACTCCATCGTCTTTACCAATCCAGTAATTATGGTATCCATATTCCTTAGGAGTTTGATCTTCGTTGTTTACGTAAGCTACAAAAGCAGCCGATCTAATATTGTGGGATGGCTGCAAACGACACCAAAACAGAGTCTGCTTGAAAACTTCGTTACGAAAGTGCCATTGAAATTCGCCGTTTACTGCAATATAATGAAGTCCAAGATCGTCCTCCTTTGATTTGCAGTGCACTAGTAACTGGGCTGAGGGGTCACTCAGGTGGTTTAGTATGTGGACATAATGAACTTCCCACCAGAATTTGGCTGAGTTTTGGGGAAGCAAGACTAAGAAAGTGATTAGGAATATGGAGATGGATGACTAATAGTAGTATCCATTACTCACCAGTGCAGTACGTAGTACTACTGATTCTACCTTTTCCTTTTTCTTTGATTTTATCTCTTCAGTAATTGGGTCTTTATATATGCTCTAACATTGTTGCAATATCTTCTTCGACATTAACTACTATTTATATATCCATCAATTACTTACCACATATAACACCTTAATTAGGATGAAAGTATATTAATGGTCATTCCACACTCAAAGACGACCAGACAAACGAATGTCAACCACAAAACAATTCACAGCTCGAAAATGAATCTATGGGATGGGGAAAAAACTTTACCGAGAAAGTGGAGGGATGGACACTGTATGGGCAAAGCGTAAGCATCGTCAACCACTAACTTCGCCTTGAATTTCGTCCATCCAACTGTTATCAGAAACTTGATCTTCGGAACTCTGGTCAGCGCCAGGACCTGCCCATTTTGAATGCAATCACTATAATAAACACAACAACAGTAACATAGGAAACCATTTTTAAAACGTGGAAGAAAATCTGACCTTGGATTGCAGACCTGAAAGTCCAGCCGGCAGAATCGCTCCCTGTCCCAGACAAATTTCCACGCAATTCACATGATATGGTGCCCGCGAGAACCGATTCAAACAAACACATAAAGGAAAAGGGAAGACGCACATGTGAGAAACCGAGGAGGCCGTCCATGGGAGCATGCTTGATCATTAATT